ACGGCTAGATGCTTGTAGAGAACGTCGCACAAAGAACCAACTCTTTGGCTTCGGCTACAATCGTCAAAGATTAAAAAACATTAAATTCTTGAACTAATCGAGCCACACTGGTTTAGCGGTTGGACGCTCGCCCGCGGATCGGAATTTCGTTTGCTCGGGTCCTAAACGTAACCGGACTTTTTTTCTTCAAAAATGAACTTGGTTCTCAGGTGGACCCAGCTTTGAATAGGTACCAGGTGACGTATTGGGAAATAAAGGCGACTGGCGTGATGTTGACCACATAACACATGAAGTGCCGGTTGGTCTATACAATAAATATAGGTCTAGCCCTATGTGCCCAATAGCCCTGAAGGCGCGGAAAGGGGTCTTTTACTTTTTATTTTACTCCTTAACTGAAGTGTGCGTTAAACAGCATGAAAACTTTGCCATGGAGACCCTTGTGTAGTTTAGTAAGTATGCAGTCACAGGCGACTAATTAAACGTTTGCTGAAATCTAATGTGTGGGATCAAAAGGCGCAGATGTCGCAGCCCAACCGTAAGTACAGACACAAAGTGACAATCGTGCGTCTAATTTCGAAAACGAAAAATGAGAAGGAATAAATGAACTGTTCAATTACTCAAATCGGAAACTATATCATAAAACAGCGAAATCTGACGCACCAAAGAATATTACAACAATTACTTTTACAACCATGTCAGTCAAACAGTTTAAGTTAAATTTCTTCCAAGCAATTGAAATTGTGAAGTAAATGTGTTTGCAGATACTGGGTTCAGTTCAATCATAACGTAAAATTAATCAGCTAAAGCTTTTAACACTTTCTATCATTCAACGCTTTGAAATTATAGTGCGATCACTTTATTGGTTTTGTAATCAATTATGTTTGACTAGAAGTGTCTCGGTTTCTTGTTTGGTAATCAGTAAGTTTGACTTGCAATCTTGCCGTTCATTGCTGGCGATAGGGAACATTTTTCCATTGAGTGCTACTACTAGTGATTTTTTCCAAATAATCAACAAAATAGGTTTGGTAGATTGAAGGTATAGGTATTGAAGGTATAATTTTAATACATTCAGAATACAAACTGTCATTGTATATTAAGAGTTAGTCCACTATTTTAACTTATCTGTATCAGAAGGAAAGACTGAAAAGCTTTCATCTGCGATGCTTAAAAAGAATATGTTTCATTAAGTGACAAGGTGAGATTAAAAACCCCCTTGTTTTTGCTAAAGCTAGGTATCATAATAGTTTTCTCAGTGCTTGGTCTTTAAAGGTGGCTACGGTACCCTTAAACTTGTGGGCTTCTGTGGCTTAGGAGCTGTGAACGAGCTTCGTAATGCCGGGGTGCCGGTTTAATCCCAGCTGCTTGCCTTGAGCTTTGCGTTGGTTTCGACAGTGTTGTCAAGATGCCGACCGTCCAGGAAAAAATGGCAAACTACTGGACGTAAATTTGCATAGAAAAACCACAACAGCCAAAACAAAATTCTGGGTTGGTTCTGCAACTTCCTGTAAACGATATGCAACTAACTGAAATCCTTACACTTGGAGGATGCGACAGTGGTAACCCTCCCTCCCTCCCCCTCCCCAACCCGAATGGACAACAGCTTTGACAGGCTGGTTGAACGAGCAGAGGGTAGTTGACCTGGTTCTAAACCACTTTGCATGCAAAGACTGGACTCAGCGGATTGTGCGGATGAAACCTCTTATGGTTCGACGGGACAAGGAGGCGATTACCATCAGGTTCTGTAAAAAACTACGAGCAAATCTGGCAACTTCGGACGCCTTAGTCATCCACTGAGCCTAGGTCCATTTCAAATCGTCCCGACATTACACTGCTACTGGATCAAGATGGACACAGGGAGAAGAGAGTGAGGAGGTCGACGAATTGCGCAGCACTTCCTAACTTGAATCCAAAGCCCTTGCGCACGTCAGTTTATTCTTATTCTGATGAGAGTTGTCAGTAAAACTCCTATCGCCTTTACTTCAATGTCATTACCTGTTTTATCCCTGCCAAATTCACAATTAAACACAAAACCTTTGGGAGAGCACGAGAACATCTAACCAGTGTCCTATCGCTGCTTCTGCTGCCAAGTAGACAGCCTACAATACTTTAATTATTTTTATTTATTTATGTGTGTGCGAGTGCGCATGAGTCTGTGTAGGTGTGTGAATATTTATGTGGTGTGTGTGTGTGTGTGTATGTAGGCGCGAGAGGGGGAGGGGGTGAGTTTCTGTGCGCCTGTGTATGTGAGTTTGTGTGTAAGTGACTATGTGTATGTGTGTGGGTGTGAGTGTGTGTGTGCTGGTGTGTGCATTTGTGCGTGTGAGTCTGTGTGCAAGTTTATTTCTACCTATTTTCTACCTATCCTCTTTTCTTAAATCATTGCAGTCCCTAGTTTTCCCGCTACATTTTTTCACTGGTGCCCTATTTCTTCACATCTTTCTTTTCCTTCGTCTGACCCACTTTTTTGTCCTTTGCCTTCTCCTTTGTTTCCTCCTTCTCATTCCTCTACCATTTTTTCCTCTTTCTCATTCTTGCCTTTTTTTTTTTTTTTTTATTTAATTGTTTTTCCTTCTTTTTATAATATTACATATTTTTTTCTATTGAACATTATTTATTTTATTTATCGTGTTTACTCCTTTTCATTCTTCTACCCCTATCCCCATTTCTTTAAAACTTTTGATCATTTTCTGTCTCCTTTGGTTTCTCTTCCTCCTCCTCTTTCACCATCTTGTGCTTCACCTCCTAAGTTTCAACATCTTCCTTTTCCTATTGTGTTGTCCTCTTTACTTTCTCCATCTCTTTCTCCTTTTCTTCCTTTTCTGCTCTCTCCTCTTCTTTCTTATGCTCATTCTCTCTTCTTCTTCAGCCCATTCTACTCGTCCTCTTTGTTTTCTGCTTCTTCCTCCCGTCCTCTTCATGCTTCTTTTCTTTCTGTTTTTTCTTATTCTTCTTTGTCTCCTTTTTTCTGCTCTTCGTGATCTTGTTCTTGCTCTTGTTCTTGCTCTTGTTCTTGCTTTTGTGCTTCTTTTTCTTCTTCTTCTTCTTCTTCTTCTTCTTCTTCTTCTTCTTCTTCTTCTTCTTCTTCTTCTTCTTCTTCTTCTTCTTCTTCTTCTTCTTCTTCTTCTTCTTCTTCTTCTTCTTTCTTCTTCTTCTTCTTCTTCTTCTTTTTCTTCTTCTTCTTCTCTTCTTCTTCTTCTTCTTCTTCTTCTTCTTCTTCTTCTTCTTCTTCTTCTTCTTCTTCTTCTTCTTCTTCTTCTTCTTCTTTTCTTCTTCTTCTTCTTCTCTTCTTTCTTCTTCTTCTTCTTTCTTCTTCTTCTTCTTCTTTCTTCTTCTTCTTCTTCTTCTTCTTCTTCTTCTTCTTCTTCTTCTTCTTCTTCCTTCTTCTTCTTCTTCTTCTTCTCTTCTTCTTCTTCTTCTTCTTCTTCTTCTTCTTCTTCTTCTTCTTCTTCTTCTTCTTCTTCTTCTTCTTCTTCTTCTTCTTCTTCTTCTTCTTCTTCTTCTTCTTCTTCTTCTTCGTTTTTGATTTCATCTACGTCTCTTCCACCTTTTTTTTTAATCTTCTTGGTGTGACTAAGTAAGTAGCAGACGTTGGAAATGTGACACTTAGATCTTTCACATTCAAAATGTAATGAAATCAGTTTTGCTGATATAAATGTGTTGGCTGTGCTGTTGTTTAAGCTTCCTACATACTCAGACACTTTCTTTGACTTTTTTTTTTTTTTTTTTGCATCAGTGCCTAGTATATTCATACATAAAGTTAATGTCCTTTTTACTCTTCCTGTGTTGGTATGCCCACACAGTTTATCAGTCATTATAGTCCTGAAGTGGGAGCTTGAAACATTCACAAACTTAACTCTTCAACATGTATTTCCGTTTTCTTTTTACTACAATCTCAACACTTTTCTCATGAAACCATGTCGATGCAAGCAGTAGCTTCAATAATTCATTACTAATATAATTAGTCATGCTTTTTATCCAAATTAACCAGGTAATTTTGTTTTATTCATTTTGTATTTTGTTATAATTTTGTTTTTTTTTAACTCTAAAGAAGTGTTTAATTTCAACATACACAAGCTGGGCAATGGATGCCTTCATTCTGAAGACACAAAATTATATAACCTTCTTCTACACAAAAATAAATTATCAAGTGATTTTCTGCAACATTTATTTTCTGATGACTGAATGGAGTTACGTGCATTTACTTCTTATATAGGATATTTTGTGATTGACTCAACCGGTATGTGTCCCAACATTAGTTACAAACTAGCCTCAACATTTGTTGGCTTTAGTGGTTTTAGTGAGTTATATTACCTCCAACTATTTATCATTGATTTCATAACCATCCGACTCTCATATCGTTGTTAAACGATCTGCTGCTAAAGGGCCTGCAGATAACTTCGCACTCTTATACGCCAGACTTATGAAATTCATTTCCATTAACCAAAGTTGCAGATGCTTATGAAAATGCCTCCACAACTGCTAATTAGAAAAACCCTACCTCTTTATTTCACGTATTTACCACGTTTGCCTTGTAGACAGAGGAGGCTTTTGTCCTGAAGATTTAGAGCCGTTTGGCTAGTGCAGACACCACAGATGGTTAAAGGTTGGAGTTTAATTTTTGCCCTCGACAGAAAACAACAAACCCATAAACAGCCATGCCGAGGATTTGAACGCAAGTATCCAAGATGATAACACAACGTTCTTAACCGTTCGGTCCAACAATACTTACAGTGTTTTTCCGCATTTTCTCGAGCTCTTGTGCATTTATTATTACGGTCTGAAACAAGGTGGCATCATTATGACAACAAATTCTACATATTTTAACCTTTTCGTATCTGATGACCTGAGCAGTGACATCAGCACCACAATTGTTACAGTCAATATAGTTGTATTAGTTGGCGCTATATCTATATTAGGTATATCTTCAAATGTAATAAATATATTCGTTTTCTGCAAACAAGGATTCGTTGAAACTGTAAATATTAACTATACCGCACTAGCTATTTCTGATTTATTATCCCTGGTGGCTTCATTGTTCCTGAGTATTTTCTGGAATCCGTTGTTCATTAACGCCGGATTGCCGATTGTATTCGTAGACATTCAAGCTGCCTTTGCCACATGGCCCTATGGCTGCTTCGGAAGGATAACGGGGTGGGTAACGGCGTTCATTACCTTTGAGCGTTGTTTGTGTGTGGTCTGGCCTCTGAAGGTTAAAAGAATAATAACCTCAAAGGTAATCATTGTCGTTATCTTGTCTATCTGCCTGACCATGTTTTTCACTATGGTACCTTTGTATGCAACGTCACCACTTGGATGGATATCATTTCCTGGAAATACAACTTTACTGGGTTCCTTCATAACCTCAAGCACTGAACTATCAGCCAGTGTGTCATACACTACTCATGCAGTCATCCAGTTGTGCTGTTTCTTTGCTGTTCTTGTCTTCACGGCAGGGCTGACAATCCGTTTAAGACAAAAGACGCGATGGAGAAACAAGCTAACATCTACACAGAGTTCAACATCGAAATCGACACAAAGAGAGGACAAAGCCATCAAAATGGTGACCCTGATTGCAACAATTTACGTCGTGTGCTATTTACCAACTATAACATTTCTCATTGGAACCGTTTTACATCCGGGGTTCAATGCCAAGGGTGATTACAAAAATGTTTTCTTTTCCGCGTGGTCTTTTGTTATATTATGTGGCGTTGTGAACTCTTCAGTGAACTTATTTGTGTACCACCATATGAGTTCAAAATTCAGAAAAACATGCGACGAGGTATGCGGACAATTTCTGCCATTTATAAATTCTATACAAACAACGTAACTTAGTGAACTGGAACAACGAAAGCACTGCGTCTTTACATTATACAGACTATAACATTCTGTATACACTTTGTGAGTAAAGATAATAAAATGTAAATAACCCTCTTGACCTCCCTGACGCATCGATCATTGGTACTGACCCGGGTCCTATTTGTATTACAGAATCAGCATTCAACAGTGTATTGTCAACATTTTTCTGGTTTATTTACTTCCCAGAATAGTTTCAAATACTCATAATACGGCTAGGTCCACCAAAGAACCCCACATATCAATTCTTTTGTGGATTCGAATCCAAGACCTTTGGGTCAGTAGCCAAGAGTCTAATCACTGACAATCGTTTAAGATAAAAGACGTGATGGAAAAGCCAGCGAACATTTTTTTTTTCAGTGCTTTTTTTTTCTTTCTAAACAGACGATATTTTTCTATTGTGCTATAGACAGGCATATGAATAAGAGTTCATTCCTCTGGAATAGCACCATGTCAGGGTAGAATTAAAGAGAACACGTAGAAGTGACTACATTATTATTGTTACGATACAAGCATCATATGTATGTAGGAAGGTTATGAACCATTTAAAAAGACAAGACCCCTACTGCTGTTGTCTTTTTGAGCATTTCAGAGCTTATTTAGGACAAAGAAATACTAGATCCACCCCCCCCCCCCCCTCCAACATTTTTTGTAGTTTTCCTAGGCAAATATTATGTTCGGTAGTTTACCCATTGAATGAACAAGGGAGTTGAATTGTTGTAGATCTCGAGGCAGACCAAGAAGACGATGGAGAGATAATGTCCAGACAGACCTGCAAACACGTGGTGTCACAAATGGAAAGAGAAGGCCATCCGGAGAGATGAGTGGAGGCGGGTGAAATCTCCAGCAATGAACCTCAAGGGCTCGGAATGCTCAATAATATAATAATAATAATAATAATAATAAAATAATAATAATAATAATAATAATAATAAGAAGAAGAAGAAGAAGAAGAAGAAGAAGAAGAAGAAGAAGAAGAAGAAGAAGAAGAAGAAGAAGAAGAAGAAGAAGAAGAAGAAGAAGAAGAAGAAGAAGAAGATGATGATGAAAAAGAAAAAGAAGAATAAGAAGAAGAAAGGGAAGAAGAAAATAAATAAATAAAGAGTGAATGTGCATCAAGCAGGTTACACACAAGACGTCTTTTAAGATATAGTTTTGTGGAGGAAGTAAATGTCTATAAATCTGAAATTATTGCTTGTCAGTTTTTTGAGAAATTTGTAAGAAAGAGTGCACGAATTACAGTCGAATATCAATATTGAGCCACACAAGGAAAATGTATGCCAAACTAATTTAAAGAAGATTCGGACCATTAGAAGAAGAACAACTTTCAGAAGCCCAGATTGGTTTCGGACGTAACAGAAGCTGCACAGACGCAATATTTACATTAAGACAGTTTACAGAAAGAGCAATACAGTATTGTAAGACATGCCAAGTTTCATTAATAGACCAGGAAAAAGCGTTTGACACAGTGAGGGAATATGTTGCGGAGTTGCTTAGGAAGATATGGAATCAGCAAACACCTAACTGAAGTATATAAGAGCTTTTATTTATCAAGTAAGAGTTGCATACGAACACAAGCAGGTACATCACAATTTACTTTTAAAGTAAATTCAGGAGTAAGACAGGGATGTTTGCTAACTCCCCTGCTTTTTATAACATACATCGGCAATATATGCAAAGAAGGAGAGAGCCGAGAAAAGGATGATATCTCAGAATTGTTTCCCCCCCCCCCCCTTCCCCAGATGACCAAGTATTAATAGCTGAAACAGAAAAGAGTTTACAGAACCATAAAGCCAAGTCACTACTAAGTGTGAAAAATATAACATAAGGATAAGCATTGATAAGACAAGGGAATTGTAATAGGCATACAAGAAGAAACCATACCAATGAAATTAAATAACACATAAATAAAACAAAAGATCAAATGTATATATATCTAGGGTCATTTTTCACCTGAGATGAAAGAATGGATAGAGAAATAAACACACGATGTGGGAAATCAAATCAGATTATGGGACAATTATCACCGCTTCTGACGCATAGATAGATACCTCTGTCGACCAAAACAAATCTCATTAGAACGGGTTTTTGGCCAAAATTGTGCTACCAGTGCCAAGCATGGACCCCTAATACAATCAATTAGCGGAAGATCGTAACAACAGAGATGAGACGTCTTAGGAGAGCTCCTGTTATGACAAGAAAAGATAAAATCAAGAGTGAAGTCATTAGAAGAAGACTAGGACTGAAACCAGTTATAAATTAATTAAAGAACAACAAATGAGATAGTTTAGCCACCTGACAAGAATGCCCTACTACTAACCGCCACACACACAGAGAGAGAGAGAGAGAGAGAGAGAGAGAGAGAGAGAGAGAGAGAGAGAGAGAGAGAGAGAGAGAGAGAGAAAGAGAGATGCTGAAGAAATATAATGAACACAAAGCAAGGGAGAAACCACGCAAGAGATGGAGTGACTTTATCAGGAGCAACCCAACATAAGTGAATACCAACTTGTACAATACATTAGAAAAAGCGCACAAATGATCCTCACATTTTCCCCCAACACCTCTATGAGGTAAATGGTGACAGAGAAGAATAAAATGTTGTGAATTTTACCAACTATAAAGATGAGATAGATGGTAGACGACTTGAACATTGTTTACACGGTAGGGCTACCTGAATTGCTTTTTTCTTGGCCAGTACGTCGCTGCTCGGTGAGGTATACTTTGCTTTGGCAACCGAGTTAGCAGTAATTTAACTACTTATATTAACAATAAACCACTGAATCGGTCTTTGATTGAATTTGAATATCCTAGCAGTTCATCATCATCATGTAGCAAGATTGTACAGAATTTTGATTTCATCACAGCCTGCCTAAAAGAAACTTTATTCTTTGCCCGTCTTCGTTTTTTTGGGGCCCCTGCTCATCCTTCCTTGTATAATGCCTTAGCTATTAATTTTCTTCTAATTCGCGATAGCCCTTGATATGACCAAAATATTTCGGCTTCCGAGACAAGATGTTGTTTAGTAGCCAATTTTCCTTGACGGCCAGATCTGTTAAACGTATTACAGTAAAGTAAAGATCCCTTTTCACGCCTTTAGGCCCATCGGGTATATGGAAAAAGCGCCTCTATTTTTTCAGACTATCGGCACTGGGTGCGTAATGTGGTCAGCATTATGCCGGCCGTCTCTACTTCACCAGGACATACATCCTGGTACCCATTTTAGGCTGCGTCAACCCGCAACGCCCCATAGGTTAGTTGCGTATCCTTTACAGGACGTTTCAGAACTAACCCCAACAGCCCCTAGCTATTGTGTGGTTTTCCTACGCAAAGTTACGTCCAGTAGTTTATCATTGCTCTCCGGACTGTCGGCTTTCTTGATACCACTGTCAAAACCAACGCATGGCGCATGGCCCGCACCTAGGATCGAACCCGGCATCCCGGCATTACGAAGCGTTCGCATAGACTTAGCCACAGATCCGACCTCGAGCGCTGTGCATTCTTGGATCCAGAGACATGCCAATAAACTCTGACAAACACTAACATAATCGACAAAACATACACCAGAACAAAATATATAACAACTTAATTTTTGTTAAAGACAGGCATAAACACATTGAAACACACACACACACACACACACACACACACACGCACACACACACACACAAACATGTTCTCCCACAAAAATCTGGAATACTAAATTAAATCTTCAAGCTAATGAGCCTTCACAAGCAAACAACAACAAAGACAATGATACAACTTCACAAAACCTACATAAAATAAATTGACTGTGTAAAGGCTGAAGTCCACTCTTGATCAAAATATCAATCCACGCTGGAAAAATATTGTCTGCTAATATAATTAATCAGTAATTAGTTTATCAGTAAAATTAGTTTATTAACTTTAAATAGCTACTAACATACACAATCTCGGCAACACACTCTATCAATGTGCACCTTCTCGCACTTGACGACCTCAGCACAGATACCATATCAACAATAAGTACTGTCAATATATTTGCTTTATTTGGAGCGATTTCTGTGTTTAGTACAACCCAGTTAATGTAATATTGTTTAGTAGGCAAGGATTTTCAGAGACCACACATATCAACCATACCGCATTTGCTATTTCTGATTTATTATCTCTAGTGGCTTCCTTATTTTCTTCTACAATCTGTTGTTTTGCATTGCCACGTGTATTTTTTTTTTAAATATTCTGATTCATTTGCAACTTTGCTCTACCGCTTTTTCAGTAGGGTTACACGACTTTCAACCACATTCATCGTCTTTGAACACTGCATTTGGGTGGTGAGACCGTCCAAGGCTACAAAAAATCTTTACTTCGCCGGTAACCATAATCTTTATGTTTACATTTACCCGTCAACATTCGTGGCCGTGGTGCCAATGTATACCCCAGGGATAATTAGCGTTTGACCCTGGACTCACTGGTCTTTAATGGGAACAATTTAGTCGACAAAGTTGAAACAGTTTGTGTGTTTTTTTTTCTACAGCTTTTGTTCGGCCTTCCAGTTATTAGATTTCTTGGCTGTTATTGTTTGCACTGCAGTTCTTATTACCTACCTGAGACAAAAGGTAACTGCGACACGAAATTCATTATGGTAACTATGTTGTCTAGTAAATCCTTATGTTTCCTTTTATTTCTTTGACATATACGTATATGTACCAATTGACAAATGCGATTTTTGTTTCCTGATGTTTAATTATATCAGGGATTGTAATCAGCGATTTGCAATAAGTCTGAATTTTTTCAGAGATATCAATCTTGCCTTCCTTTTTAGGATGCAATTTTTCGTTATTCGAAGCCCTACTCTGGCTGATGCCAGGGGCTGCAATATGGCCCGGGCATAAATATGACCTAATGGCTGAACGCTGTTTATGATTCCTCTCCACGGTGATCCTCATCCACATGGTGGCACATTGTGTCATCGGGTGTTTATTGCTTGTGTGATGTCCT